TTTATATCCGATCTCTGCTTATGTTTCTTATGGTGATCTGTCTCCCACATTTTGAGCTTATACTATGGCCTTATCAGATACGCCAGTTCCTCGCTCTATTTCGAAGGCTATGCGGGAGCCCCAATGAGTTCTTGCCATGCAGACAGAGATGGATGCTCTTCAGCGTAATCATACATGGGATCTTGTCTCCTTACCTTCAGGGGTGAAGCCTGTTGGCTGTCGCTGGGTTTACACCCTGAAGTTTCTTGCGAATGGTACTATTGATCATCACAAGGCTAGATTTGTGGCGAAGGGCTTTACTCAGGTACCAGGTCGTGATTTTAGTGCTACATTTGCCCCCGTGGCAAAATTGACTACTGTTCGGTTGAATTTTTTCTCTGGCTGCAGAGTACTCTTGGCCTCTTCATCAATTAGATGTGAAGAATGCATTTCTTCACGGTGATCTGGATGAGATTATTTATATGGATGCACCACCGGACTTTCGTGGTGAGGGGGAGTATGCTAGAAAGGTATGTCGACTGCGTAAGTCTCTTTATGGACTAAAACCATCGCCACGAGCCTCTTTAGTGATGTCGTCATACGATTGGGGCTCATCAGGTGTCATTCTAATCATACATGCTTTATTCAACGGAATACTTTTGAACAGTGTGTCATTCTTCTGGTATATGTTGATGATATTATTATTACTGGTGATGATGTTTCTGGGACTGCGCAGGTCAAGATAGACCTTGGGAAGGCCTTTAATGTGAAGGACCTTGAATTTCTGCGATACTTTCTTGGGATTGAGGTTGCCCGTAGCGGCAGGGGTGTTGTTCTTTCTCAAAGAAAGTATGTTTTGGATCTTCTTTCAGACACTGGGATGTTGGGGTGCAAACCGGCATCATCACCTATGATTCCAAACCTGAAGCTTACTGCTGAAGGTGAGGAGTTGAAATATCCGACAGTTTATCAAAGATTGGTAGGTAGACTTATTTACTTAGCCAATACTAGGTCGGACATTTCATTCGTAGTCAGCCGAATTAGTCAATTCATGTACAGGCCGTGTCAGCCTCATCTTGATGTAGTTTATCATATTCTTCGGTACCTCAAGTCTTGTCCTGGACTTGGGTTGTTTTATGTATCAGGATCTCAGACCGGTTCTCTAGCCTGTTATTCAAATTCAGATTATGGGGGAACATGTGATGGTCGATCTACTACGGGCTTCTGTTTTTTTCGAGGGACTCATTTTATCTCTTAGAAGAGCAAGAAGCAGGCAGTTGTCTCCCGCTCGTCAGCACAGGCAGAGTATCGGGCACTGGCACTTGGCACGTGTGAGATTATCCGGCTACGATCGATTCTTGGCGAGTTGGGTTTTTCAGTGACCTCTCCTTCCACATTATATTGTGATAATCGATCTGCTATTCAACTCGCTTCTGACTCTGTACTACATGAGAGGACGAAGCATATAGAGATTGATATTCACTTTCTTCGGGAGAAGGTTAGCAGTGGTATTGTCACTTCATCGTTTGTGGGGACCAGTGATCAGGTTGCAGATGTTTTTACCAAACCTGTCACTCTGTCTATTTTTCGGGACTCTGTTGTCAAGCTTGACTTAGTTGATATTTTTGCGCCTAACTTAAGGAGGAGTGTTAGAAATATAGCAGCAGCCTAGTTTATTAGGGTTTTATTAAGTTTTCCTTTTTTACCTTTTTGTCCTTATGGTAACTCTCATTGACTATATATACGGGGGCTCTACACTTAGTTTGTATCCCTTTTTCATTCACGTTGTATTTCAAGTGTATTTTATATTCAAGATTCTATGTAATTCTAAAACTGAAAATGGGTCACCCTTCTAGAGTCCTTAATTTTTACTTAGCATTTAATTTCAATAGACTTCATAAGCTATAAAAACTCATTACCCAAGCCAACCAAATGAATATCTTGTCAATGAGGAATTTTCATTTCTATGATTCACGGTCTCTCAACAACCCACCTTACTAAGTATAAGTTGAATGTATTCATCGTGGAGATATGCGTATCCAATGATACGTGTGGAAAGTATTTGATATGTATTCGTAAGTATCTGAAAAGTATCGATATCCAATACGTGTCGGATATGGATACGCCACCCCAATCGAAGAATACGTACTTCATAGGCCAGCAGTCCTTTGCCCATTAGGTCGTGTTGAAATAATAGCTACTAGAATCATCAATAAAACACAGTTGAAGCTGTACCTACCACCAGATCATAGTATGCAGAGTAATACTGAGGGAAACTCCCAGAAGCTCCACCAAGAGATGTCTGTGTGGCATCTAGAAGAAGAAATATCTTCTCTCGTACAGGCAGGTCTGACTATGAAATGAGGAAAAAAAAATTAACCTCTAATCCAATGAAATCATCTGACAATAAGAATAACAGAGGAAGAAAAAAATATACCTTTTTCTTCACTATCTTGACAAGTATGGGGAGGAGCCCTACATCAATCACCTGCTTATGAATGGGTTCGCCAATATTATTCATCAACATCTCCAACAACTGCAAAATCATTCTTTAGAGATAACAGACCCGCAGAAGCAACACAAATATGTTGTAAGAATACTTCATAAGCCTAAATGGCTAGACGACCGACTATCCATTTCATATAATCATCAAGATCAGTATTTACAAAAAGACGAACTAACATTTCATAAAGCAATGATGAAATATAGTAGGATATGGTGTTCACTCACCATAACAGCAAATAGCTGAGTATTTACGCTTTTACTTCCCAGGCGTTTTTTTATAGCTTTAATGACATCTCTAGCTTGCCTGTGTAATGACAACCACCCAAAATTATGAAGAGCATGAAAAGGCCACTACGAAGTACAGTGGATCTATAATGATAAACAGCTCAAAATCATACCAATAATGGGTTTCTTTCGACCCAATATTCAGCCAAGAATTCAGCGTTACTCAAATTCTGGTGCAAAACTAGGTTTGCTTTGTAACTATTCAGAAATTCGCCCAAAGGAAACATCGTTAAACCTATGGAACTGCGAAGATGAACTGNTCGGATCAGCGCCGTCAGGGTGCCTCAGATCAGCGCAGACAAGGGGATTCTCGTCGCCGATCAGGACATCTCAGGGCTACTTGCGGNGGTCTCGTTCAGGATCCTCAGTCAGGGGTGGGCAGCGCTCGGATCAGCGCCGTCAGGGTGCCTCAGATCAGCGCAGACAAGGGGATTCTCGTCGCCGATCAGGACATCTCAGGGCTACTTGCGGGAAGCTCCATCCAGAGCTTAAGCTGCCTCCTCGCAGCCGTACTGTTGTTATTGCTGAGGTACCACCACCTACTACCGCTACTCTTGTTGCTACTGCTCCACCTTGACAGAGTGATATGAATGCTATCACTTCCCGATTATATATACTTATGTCTGCTCTTACTTTTCAGAGTCTGACTACTGCTGCTGTCACCACTACAGGTATACCTCGTGCCTTTAATGCTTGTGCCAGTTCATCTCCTCTTTGGATGTTAGACTCGGGTGCGAATGGTCACATGACAGGTGAGGCCCATCACTTCACCACTTTTGACGAGCAGTTACATACACAGTTTCAGTTAGCAGATGGGACATATGCCCCTATTGTTAGTAGNGTCACATGACAGGTGAGGCCCATCACTTCACCACTTTTGACGAGCAGTTACATACACAGGTTCAGTTAGCAGATGGGACATATGCCCCTATTGTTAGTAGGGGTACAGTCTGCCTCCCAAATGACCTTACATTACGTTTGATTTTTCATGCACCAAAGTTGGTCATGAATCTATTATCTGTACATCAGTTGANAGAGGCATGAGGGTACCAAAATTTTATTGGCATTTTGCTGTTTTGACTTCTACCTTTTTGTGCAATCGTACGCCGAGTCTTGTTCTTCAGCATAAGGCTCCCTTATAGGTATTATTTCCTGAGCGGACACTTTTTTCGGTCCCCCCTCGTGTTTTTGGATGCACATGTTTTGTTTAGGATCGGTCTCCTACTCGTCATAAACTTGATGATAAAGCGATTCGTTGTATCATTGTGGGCTATTGTCATCAATCTAAGGGGTATCAGTGTTATGATCCTATCAGGCGCCGTATGTATCACAGTCTAGATGTTACCTTTCTTGAGCATATTCCTTATTTTTCTCCCAGTCCTGTGTCTGCCCCTCCAGTTGATGATACTCCCTTTGTTTTCCATTACCACAGGAGTCAGAGTCATTGGTCATTATCCCTACAGGGTTATCTGTTTCTCCTCCTTCAGAGCCACTCATCTCTGTTAGTACAGAGTTACCAGTCTCTCTTCCTTTGCAGGTGTATGTTAGTCGCCCTCGCTCTCATCACCCTACTGATGTCCCCTCTACCTTAGGCGATGCAGGTAATACTTCTCAATTTGTTGAACATATTGATGCACCTGTTGTTAGTACTTATGAGATTGCAGGTGCTGAGCCAGTTCATTTACCTGATGAGATATTATCAGTGGAGGAGTATGATTTAGGGTGTCGTTATCCGCGACGTGATCACCGTCCAGTTGATCGTTATGGTTGGACCGCTAGGATTTAATATCCGATCTCTGCTTATGTTTCTTATGGTGATCTGTCTCCCATATTTCGAGCTTATACTATGGCCTTATCAGATACGCCGATTCCTCGCTCTATTTCGGAGGCTATGCGGGAGCCCCAATGGGTTCTTGCCATGCAGACAGAGATGGACGCTCTTCAGCGTAATCATACATGGGATCTTGTCTCCTTACCTTCAGGGGTGAAGCCTGTTGGCTGTCGCTGGGTTTACACCCTGAAGTTTCTTGCGGATGGTACTATTGATCGTTACAAGGCTAGACTTGTGGCGAAGGGCTTTACTCAGGTACCAGGTCGTGATTTTGGTGCTACATTTGCCCCCGTGGCAAAATTGACTACTGTTCGGTTGATTATTTCTCTGGCTGCGGAGTACTCTTGGCCTCTTCATCAATTAAATGTGAAGATTGTGTTTCTTCAAGGTGATTTGGACGAGATTATTTATATGGATGCACTACTGGGCTTTCGTGGTGAGGGGGAGTATGCTGGAAAGGTATGTCGACTGCGTAAGTCTCTTTATGGACTGAAACAGTCGCCACGAGCCTGGTTCTCTCGCTTCAGTGATGTAGTCATACGATTGGGGTTCACCAGGTGTCATTCTGATCATACCTGCTTTATTCGACGGAATACTTCTGGACAGTGTGTCATCCTTCTGGTATATGTTGATGATATTATTATTACTGGTGATGATGTTTCTGAGACTGCGCAGGTCAAGATAGACCTTGGGAAGGCCTTCGATGTGAAGGACTTTGGATTTCTGCGATACTTTCTTGGGATTGAGGTTACCTGTAGCGGCAGGGGTGTAGTTCTTTCTCAAAGAAATTATGTTTTGGATCATCTTTCAGACACTGGGATGTTGGGGTGCAAATCAGCATCATCACCCATGATTCCAAACCTGAAACTTACTGCTGAAGGTGAGGAGTTGAAAGATCCGACAGTTTATCAAAGATTGATAGGTATACTTATCTACTTAGCCAATACTAGGCCAGACATTTCATTCGCAGTCAGCCGAGTTAGTCAATTCATGCACAGGCCATGTCAGCCTCATCTTGATGCATTTTATCATATTCTTCGGTACCTCAAGTCTTGTCCTGAACTTGGTTTGTTTTATGTATCAGGATCCCAGACCGGTTCTCTAGCCTGTTATTCAGATTCAGATTATGGGGGAGCATGTGATAGTCGATCTACTACGGGCTTCTATGCTTTTTCAAGGGATTCATCTTATCTCTTGGAAGAGCAAGAAGCAGATAGTTGTCTCCCACTCGTCAGCAGAGGCAGAGTATCAGCCACTGGCACTTGGCACGTGTGAGATTATCTGGCTACGATCGATTCTTGGCGAGTTGGGTTTTTCAGTGACCTTTCCTTCCACATTATATTGTGATAATCGATCTGCTATTCAGCTCGCTTCTGACTCTATACTACACGAGAGGACCAAGCATATAGAGATTGATGTTCACTTTCTTCGGGAGAAAGTTAGCAGTGGTATTGTCACTCCATCGTTTGTGGGGACCAGTGATTAGGTTGCGGATGTTTTTACCAAACCTGTCACTCTGTCTATTCTTTGGGACTCCGTTATCAAGCTTGGCTTAGTTGACATTTTTGCGCCTAGCTTGAGGGGGAGTGTTGGAGATATAGCAGCAGCCTAGTTTATTAGGGTTTTATTATGTTTTTCTTTTTTACTTTTTTGTGCTTATGGTAACTCTCATTGACTATATATACGGGGGCTCTACACTTAGTTTGTATCCCTTTTTCATTCACATTTTATTTCAAGTGGTTGTGATATCATCGTTGAATTCAATATTTACTCACCCACCACCACCATCACACACACACACACACACATACACCCCCCAAACTCTAGATCCATTATAGAGTGAGATTATTAGCAGTTTTATTTGAAGGAAGAGGAGAAAGTTTAAAAGAAAACAATGTTTCTCACACCCACATAGTATAGACTCTCAAGTACAACAATATAATTGCAATTTTACAAAATTTTTGGAGCCCAAAAGGAACATGAGCTCTCTATTTCTTCAATGGGTGAAGGTTTTCTTTCACAGCTTTTCCATTGCTACTTCTCAATTCACATTAATCCATTAGTAGCCAAAGATGTTTTCTCCAGTAACCTTTCCCTTGCCTTATTTGCCTGCAATATGAAAAAAAAAATACCATTAGAGTGGTAGAACATAACCAAAACACTTTCTTAACTCAATTTCAGATGTAAGGCTTGTCATTGATTTTGGNTGCAATATGAAAAAAAAAATACCATTAGAGTGGTAGAACATAACCAAAACACTTTCCAACTCAATTTCAGATGTAAGGCTTGTCATTGATTTTCGTTAGTAGGTCATCACTTCAATCACCACAAGGACATTGTCAATAAAACCAGCCAATTGACATTAGTTCTCCATTCTTTGCTGAAAAAAAAATAAAGAAGTCGTCGACTGTACTCAGCTCAATTAGATAAAAATGGCTCTGACTTTTCTCTAGAAAATTTCCCTCACTAAAGCGACTGGAGAAAAGAGGTTGGTCAGAGGTCTTGATTCTTGTTATCTTTCTGTGAATCTTGAGGTGGAATGGAAGGGGATCAAAAAATCATTCTTATATCCACCGAAGAGAAGGATCACCTGCAGCTTAGTACAAAGAAGGTTAAAGAAAATCACCCTCCTCTGGTAGAAGAGGTTCGAATAGAGGAATAATCTGTGTCCTTGAGTACCGAAATTGTTATGCAAAGTGGGAAGGAAGAGGAGTCCCACCCAAGGAATTCTAGAGCGGCTCTTATGGAGGATGTGAATGTAATTTACTTCGATTCACCTTCCTCTGACGAAAAGTCATAGGATGAAATGGATGAACAGCAAGGCTCAAATGAAAGGGTGGAGGAAATCGCTGTCATTGATACTTCAGATGAATCATGCCCCAAAATTAGTCTGGCAAGAAAGACCCTACAAAGTATAAAAAATAGGT